AAAAGTTATTTTTTTTATTATATCAAACAAAATAAAAAGATTAGTTGATAAATTGATATAAAAATATCTATTATTGACTTTGACTTTATAATTTAAGATAAATATTAATGATTCATTAATCTGTTTATTAATAACACGTTGACTAGGAATCCTAAGAAGACCGTAGACCGTTTTATTTATTCATGTATCTATTATTTTTCTCTATGAATGGTCAAACTCTTTGTATTTTTCTCTATGAATGGTCAAATTCATTGTATAGAAACTTATAGGAATCAGTTTTATTGCAGACAAGGTAATTTTTTAACCATGCATTCAAAAAATTTACACTGCAAGTTTTGGTTTCATTATAAATTTTCAAACTTCTTTTCACTATAGTTTTTTCTTCTTTATCTTTTTATCAGTGTGTTTGTGTGAAATGTTATTTTAAAAATGAGTTTTTTTCATGAACAATAATATTTTATTTGTGTAATATTATGTTTTTATTTGTTAATTGGCCTTAGTTAGGAAGATATTTATGTTAACAATCCTTCAACTTAGAGCTGCAGACAATTTTTCTCCTTTTGCTTTTTTTATTTTTTATTTTTATTTTTATGGTTGACATATAATAGGTTACTTGAATGGAAGCAAAATACAGCTCCAGAAACAATAGTCTATTATAAAAGGGATTAAGTTATTTTTTATTTAAATAAAATATAAATAGAGACATCTCGATCTCGACCCACTAGTGTAAAAATAAAGGAAATAAATAAGAAAAATGTAAGAATAAATTTAATAATAATAATAATATTATTATTATTATTATTATTATTATTATTATTTGGCGAGTATTGAACGTGTTTTATATTTTTAAGATATTAAATATATTTATTTTTATTTAATACTTTTCTAAAGTAATAAAAAAAACTGAAAGATTTATAGAAATATATAACATTACACATCATATTATCAATATTTAAGGTTAATATACATTAATTAATTAAAGAGTATTTAATTAAAATTTGTTTAGTTATAAGTTTATTTTTTTAATTAGTATATAAAATTATTTATTCTGAGGCTAAATTAATATGTGGGTTCCTACAATTTTATAGAGATTTTAATTATGTTCTTATAGTTTTTTTTCTGCATTATGTCACTAGTTAAAAATAGTTTCAAAAAAGTCCTTATAATTTAATATTTGTAGTCACCATTTATCATTATGATATTTAAAGAAGCTAAACTATAATTAAGTAAAGTATATAAATTAACAAATTTAAAACAGTGTTAGCGTGTAGAAATTTAATTACACACTTTTTAAATTATAAGTACTTTTTAAATATACAAATGCATGAATCTCAACATGGATCATCGTAGCCAATGCATGAATAGAACAAATTGTCGTAGCAAATGCATGAATCTCAACATGAGCGTGATGAATAAGATGGATGGAAAAGAGAGAATCTGTATAGTAAACGATGTTTTTTTTTTTTTTTTATTTAAATTTTTAAATTTTACTTCTAACTCTCAGACATAAAATTTAAAGGAAAATGTAATGAATTTTTTTAAAAAAAAATACACAAATGTTTTTTCAAAAATATTTTTTATTTCTTATAATTAACATTCCATTAATTCTTTATTTTTCTATTACGATTTTTTTTTACTAACTTCCTAATCTCAATTAGTTAAAAACAAATATTCACAAAATTTCATGAAAGTCAGCCGTGTATCATCAACACAATTGCTCAATATGTTTGGAAGAATTACAATATGCACTAATGTGGTCCCCCCCACAAAGAGCATATGCATGTTTTCAATAGTTTTATAAATCCTATTTGTTTATTTGGAGTAGTGATTGTGTCTTTTAGAAGGGAATTCTTCCTCCAAACGAATTAAAAATGTATTATATTAACAGTAAGTTTTCATTTGAATTTAGAGCATTTCAAAAGCGTTGACGATATAGAACGTAGAACCATATTAATACTAACATTCAAACTGAAGCTGTTACATGTTTAAAAGTTAAAACCATGGTCTTTAAAAATATGGCGTTTGAAAAACAACGGTCAGCTTAAACCATACAACTTTTTTTTTTAGTTTTTTTTCTTTTTTTTTTTTTTTTTTTTTTAATACGCTAGGATTTCACAGGAACCATCCATTATTAATAAGGGAGAATTCGTTATGAATATTTTGCGCATATGCTTATTACTATTTGTCAAATTTAAGAGTTAGTAAAAATAAGAGGTTCTTATTTTATGTTCTAGAGGACATTGCTAAGGTGCAACCTCAATGACCAATCTCGAAAGCTAAACACATCCCCTCCCAAAAACTTATTTATTCTCTTCATCTTTACCTAATATATGTTAGTAATTATTTCGGCACTATATTTCATATAAAATGACAAATATTGTAAAATTAAAATTTTATATAAAAGAATGATCTACTTACTCCAGTTCATAATTCCTGTTTCAATTAAATTTCAATTATTTCAATGACTAAATTAAAAGTTCTTAATGAGTAGATAAGTCCACAAATTTTCAAAAAAAATTAAGAATTATTTGATACTTCATTTCATTAATTTAAATCAACGTATAAAATAATTTTATAATTATCTATCTATTTGAATTAATGAAATGAATTATCAAATGATTTTCAAAATTTTTTATAAAAAATTTACAGACTTAATCTATACATTAAGAACTTTAAATTCAATTGTTACATTGTTGAAATTTGATACAAAACATGAATTATTAAATAGAGTAAGTTTAAGTAGACTTACTCCTAAAATAAACGATCATTTTCTCTCTCTCTCTCTCTCTCTCTCTCTCTCTATATATATATATATATATATATAAATTAAACATCTAATCACTACAATAAAATAGAATTTTAGTGACATTTTTAATATTATTTTTAGTGACAATAAAAATGACTACAAAATCTTTTAATTACTAATATTTTCACATTAGTCATTATATGCATTGTCGATATAAAACAAATGCCAACAATTATTTTGTATGCTGTTAAAGACCCTTATAATGGTCAAGAAAAATGTATAGTTGATGTGAAATTTATGTTTTTCTTAATACACCCCCTCCTCAAGTTTAACACTCAATACACCCTGTCAAGTTGGTAAGTAATTTGATACCAACTTAGAATAACAAGTTATGGGTCTAACCCAACCTAATAAAATAACTTGTAAGATGAGATTTATCATTAATTTATATATTCATTAATTATCTTATTTTTATTAGCTAATGTGAGACTTAAATTTTTTTAATAAATAATTATCGTCAATAACAAATTTTGGTATAATGTAAATACACTTTTAATGATTATTATATATTAATTATTAATATTTTTATTAAATAATAAAATAGAGATGATTAATTTATTATTATTAAATAATTATTAATAATAATAAATTTTGCTATATAATGAATAAAAATAAACTAAAGCATTGATATTTTTTCTCCGTACCTCCTTCACACAGGACAAAACTTGAGTACCTAAGGATCATTAGAAGAAAGTAAAAACTATTCGATAATTTTTAACTTTTTATAGTTTAATAAATTACTTTTGAGTTAATATTCCATGAATGGAATATTTTTAGATCTAGAGATTTGAAATAAAGAAGAAAAAAGTAAAAAATTCTAAAACTATATATTTTTAGGTATTCTTTCCGAAAGTTTTCTTCATTTAAAAATAGTTTTAAAAAAATCTTCTTGGTCCTACATACGTTTATTCACCAAAATTAGTTCTTTAAAGATTATTTTCGTCTCAATAATTGTAGTCCTTTATTTTATATTATAATTGAACGACTAATTTGGTCAAAAATTAAATATTTTAAAAAATAATGCGATGATAAAAAAAAGTCAAATGACCGGAATGGTGATACATTAAATATTTAAAGGACCGGTAATAATTTTTTAGGGGAAGAACTTAAGTGATAACACATGCAAGTCTATACACTTGTTTCCGGTGAAATTCGTAGATAGATTCTTTTTATTTGAACTAGCAACACTTTTAATTTAGGCATGTATATTAATGTGGTCCAATATTAATGTAGTTTAGCATACAAAGATTTATAGACGTTTCTTGATGATTATCGTGAAACAAGATTCATGCACATAAACATTCAAATGATTGAATGAACATGTATATTGATAGCAGAAGTCATGCTTTGTTTGCTCCAGATAATTGTTGAATTACAATGCATAAGGATTCTTAGAAGCAACAGAACTATGATACTACAGTATACCAACTAGGTTAGGACTACTCTAAGAAAGGAAAAAAAAAGGTGACAAGAAATATACTCAGTGATCTCGTGCATGGGAGCCATGGATGTAGGCAATGAATGTATGTGAGTGTGTAAATATTGAATTTCCAGCTTCTCCAAATGAGCTTACCTTGTTTATTTATATATAGAGGATAAGAAAGAACAGTTACTTTTGCGTTGGTTTGACGTGGTGGGTGCAACTACTCCATGCTACACGATGAGGGTACCCCCTTCGACCGTTCTCAACTTCTCGCAACTGCATGTTACATCTTCGATTCTCAAATAATCTCTTCGAGATCCTTGACTTTAATATTTTTGAGGAACAATTGCTATCCATTGAACCCTTGTGATCTATAACCGTCCCGTCGTTCACGTCGATGTAGATAACTTTTTTGAACTACTCATAACTACCCTCCTTCGACTTGTTGAACAATTCCTTGAGAATATTTTAATTACTTAAGGATTTTTCACAACTGTCCCAACAACACTATACTTTTTTAAGTTATTTTTTATCCATCAAATATTTACTCTAAACTTTAAAATCACCTCAAAAATATTTTTTCTATCATTGGGAAATAAAACACTTCAATATTATTTGATAAGTAAGACAATAATCCGGTTTTAAATAATTTGAAATTAAATATAAATATTACTCATTTAAATAAATAAATATTATATTTGAAACTCATATGCTTGATTAATCATGGTCTCTAATATGCATTTTCTAAGGAGTAGAGCTAAGAAATTTGTCTCCACGCAAAGGCGCAAGTTATATATAATTACAAAAGAAAACTATTTTCAATTGATTCTGGAAGATAATATATAGTATAAAGAAAAGATTAATTTGGCATAGAGCTATGAATAGAATAACATTGCATTTCACTTAACATATTCGCATAAAAGGATCGATCACGATCAGAAATGCAAGGAGAACATTTCCAAACATCAGCATGAGACTTGAGTATTTTTCCTGCTTTGTCTTTCAAATACGTGCCATGATGATCACTCTGAACCAACCTACAAAGCTTGGACACGGTCCCAACCTCCACCATCTCCTGAAGCACCACACGAGTGGCCGAGAACTTAGACACCAATGAAAGAATAAACACGGCTCTTTCATCCACATTTTGCGAAACCGTGAAGATTCGCTCCGTCAACAACGCAATGGCACCTTTGTGACTCACAAACTCAGCTCTCCCGTCAGCACAAGAACACAGATAAAATAATATCTCCATTGTGAGTTCCGTGGTGCTCTTTTCAGGTGTCCCCAACCCAATCTCTACGAGTTCAAAACCTGCACCACTTTCCACCATCATGATCCTGTTTCTCCCCCAGTGGCAAGCGCTTAACATGACACGAAGAGCAGCGTTGATGCGTTGTTGGCAAGTCCCACATCGGAAAAATTTAACAATCCGCTCAAATAATTCAGGTTTAAGTCTCTCCATTACTCCGGAGCTGGCTTTTTGCATGATTGTGTTGAGTAACGCCACTGCATGGGATTTCATAGCAAGTGAATTTTCCACCTCACAACCCAAAACCCACGTTAGAGAATCCAATATTTGATTGTTTTCCGCTAGAAGGAGCTTTGTGTCCTCTTGTGACATATCAATAAGCTGCAATTGCAATAAACTTAGGGCTTCTTCTAGACCCTTATCAAATTGACCTTTTCTAAAACAGGTCAACATGAATAGGATCATGGCTTTTGGCACACCAGCCTGTAGTAAACACTTGTTATTTCTCTCGTTCTGAGAAGCTAGAAACTTCAATTCCTTGATATTTTTTAGTTGCAGCTTGGGGTCCTTGAGGTCTTTGAGGAGCTTCAGGACTTGATTGTCAAGTGGTGGTTTAGGAGTAGGAATGCTGTGAATACCGTTTTGGGTGCACCAAGCTTGGATTAGGCGGAGAAGGGTGTGATTTGGGGTTAGATGAGAGTTTTTAGGGAGAGGGTGTCTGGTGATTGGGCATGTGGTGCTATTGTTGGTGAATAGCCACTGCTCAATGCTGTCTCGGTCGAATGTGATGCCTGTTGTAGTGGTTACTGGGTCTTTCATGATTTGAAGGGATATAGGGCACATGAAATACTGAGGAACTTCAATTTCATCCATATATTAAAACCAAGTTTGTCAAAATATATATATGCAAAAATAAGTTAGTTGGATATGTATGATTGAAAGGGGGAGCAAGGATTTTAGAAACTGGTAAGTTTAAGTATGTGTGGCTAGAGATCCTGACTATATGATGAGCAAGGCATGTGTATAAGTCTGCTGGTAGACAAGAATGGTGGCAGCAGAGTATTCTTCATTCTAAGTACCCGTGCTGTGGTCAAAGGAAGGAAAAAGTGAGTGAACATAAACCAACCAGCAGGGCCACACGGAGTTTCACGATACCAGGCTATATCGTGTGGTGTGCGCGCACGCGGGCGTGAGTAAGGAAAAGTATATTTTTGAACACCCTTAGCCTGTCTATATACACACCTTTCCACAAAATTTACGATTTAATTTCAGTAATATATATTTATATTTAATGCAAATCTCGTTAATATAAAAATAAACACTTAATTTGGTTCATAAAAGATAATAGAGATATCTAAACTTTAAAAGATATTTTGTGATATTTAAATTTTTAAATTTTAATTTTATTATATAAGTTAATCTTTTTATAATAGTCAATTACTAACTATATTAATTTCTTAAATAATAAGTAATTAAGTGTCACGTTGATATTTATTCTCTCTTTTAATTGAATATTCTCTCTCCTAATCATCTAATATAAACCATAATATAAGATTTTGATATTTTCTAATTAGTTATGGATACTTTCTCATATTCAAATATTTTATTTATGGGTGTTATAGTTGATTATTTTCTATTTCAACCATTCTTAATTTTTTGTTTGTTCTAATTACAGGTTTAAGATTGTAAATCTTGAATTTGAAGTTTAGCGAAATTAGTGATTATATATTCTAGAAGATTTCAAGTAAAGAGGTATCAATCAAATATGAGTGTTTTTATTATGATTAAGTCACAAACCTCCTCTGATAGAAATGGGGAGGAACTTGTAATGTTTCTCTTTATTACAACGAAAACAAGTTTGTTAAGGGTTTCATAAATAACTAGAATGTAGGAGTTTTATTTTTTCATTTGTCCTCTGCTACTTTAGTGGTGTTAAATGACATAATGTCCCAAACCCTTGCTTTGTAAAAATGAATCTCATATCTTGTAAAAATCAATTTCACATAGAGGTGTCAAAATGAGTCAAATTTGATAGATCAACTCGACTTACCATGAGTCTATATCGGGTCGGATTAGGAAAAAATTATACTGATTTTGACTAAATTCCAATCTGACTTACTTATAACCCATGAGTCAAACATGTTCGAGTCTAAGTGAGTCGGTTTGACCTATTTAACTCATTAATAATATATATATATATA